GCCGCTGTCCTTGTAACACGCCACGCGCAGGCTGGCGGCGTTTCAGATGAGCATCTTTGCAGCGCCAGAATCTGAGCAGAACCTCCTCGTTGCCTTTTTCAGAGAAGCAAAAGTATACGCACATCTGGTGTGATCACTGCTGTCTTTGTCTTGTTGATGCCAGATGGTTGTATTTGTGTATTTTGGTTCACGTGAAGAAGCTGTTTGCTCCCCGTCTGCCATGGTTTAGGCGGAAGCGGTAAGGGTGTGGCCTCTACGCACGCAGCCTGCGTGCAGACTTTGGGCAGCAGTTCCCTTTCAGCACCGCGGCAGCCTCTGTCAAGGAGGAGATTGTTGACTTTATTTGATGGTTTGGGGGCATGCTTTGTTTCTGACCATACGTAGGTCTGTTTGGACCAGCGAGCACCGTCCCGTCAGCACAGCGAGGAAATCCTGTCTCATTTCCCATCTGTGGACATTGACACGTTTCACTGGAGAAATTGAGACCTCAGGCACAGGTTTGCTATCTGGGGGGTTAAAGCCTTTGATACGCAGTAACCAACGTGTCCGAAGGTGGTCCCTTGACCCCGAGAGGCCACCGTTGCACACGTGGGTGGCAGTTTCAGCCTGCTGCCCTCACTACCGTGGTCCATTTTGCTGCGCGTGTCACGGGGCTGTTTCCCCAGGGAGATCTGCAGAGTTGCTTATCCCACCCCTGACGGCGGGTCCGCTCTGTGCTGGCGGCACACACTGTCTCGTGAGGATTATGTTCTGAATAAGATAGGCACGTTTTCCACGAGCTTCAAAACACTGAGAAGAAGCCAGGTGATCCCAGAAGCTACTTGATGACCCAGCTCCAGGGAGTTGGGAGGCTGGAGCAGGCATGGTCCAGCAGCGTTTTGAATTCGTGTTCAAAAGTCAGGGCCGTTAGCGCATTTGTGATTCTTTGCGCAAATTACGATGATTCTTAGGATTGATGTGGCCTTGCACTCTGCGTGGTTGCCATAAAGCTGTCCTTTCCCAGAGTCGGTGGTGTCTTCTCACAGCATGTTTTTGCTGGTGATCAGTTCCGTCAGCACGTGTTTTTGTTACTAGCAGATGCACAAGAAAAGTGTGGAAAGTTCTCACAGTGCCTGCCGTGCGGCGTCTGCTCAGCTGGAGGTGCACAGTTAGCACGATGCACAGGCGGCGCACGCGTCAGGGCAGCAGATGCGGGTGTGTGTGGACGGCGCCCGTGTGGACGGCGCCCGTGTGCCACTCCCCCAGCCAGTGCAGGATTGGACTCTTCCTCTGGCGCGCTTGACACGGCTGCATCTCATGCCTGCGGGCGCACTGAGCACACGGCACACCTCCCGCCTCTGCCACCTTCCTGCGCTACTCTCGCTCTGCGGTGGCCCGCGTGGCCCGTGTGCTCCCTTGGCTTCTGGCTCCGTTTCTGCTCCTCCCACTTTTTTTGTCTTCGACTATTTGTTAGAAGTCCATCCCAGTCGTGCTGGGAATGGGGCGGACAGCACTGCAGAGGCGTGAAACTCACGTTGCAGTCCACGGCCAGCAGGACAGAACTTTCCATTTAGCCTGACTGGGCTGGTCACCTGCTAAAGTACGAAACCCTGTTCTCCAGAGCTTCTACCAGGACATGATATTCAGGACGTCCAGCACACGATTTAACAGTTGCTCAACACGCGAACACAGGAACGGGCGATGCCCAAGAGAGTGACGGCAGGCGCCTACCTGGATAGCCCAGGCGTTGGGGTCATCAGACCAGCACTACAGCAGCGGGCGTGGCCGTGGCCTTGGCCATTGGGAGAGGCACAGCCTTGAAGAGAGTGCAGACCACAAAGAAGAGCCACGTGGAAACATCAGGCCTGGACGCGCCCTCAGGCAGAGGCCCTGAAACTCACCACGAGGACCCCTGGTGATGGGCGTGTCGAGGAAGGACTAAGTGAACTTGAAGACAGGGTTATAGGAATCGCCCTGAGGAGCAACAGGAAAACAGGCCGGGCAGGGGGGTCAGAGTCTCAGGGACACTGGGGTCGTATCAGAAGTTGAACGTTTGTGTCGTGTGAGCTGATAAGAGGGAGAGATCGGTGCAGATAAAATACTTGGGGAAATGATGGCTGAAAAGCTCAAACTTGGTGGAAGACTTAAATTTACCACCTTTGATGGCATAAACTAGTTTGGCCAGTTGTGGAGTTTCTTCAAAGTTGGTCACGATGTCCAGGCTCCTTGTCCCCTGGGATGGAGGCGGGCTGTGGGAAAGGCCGGCCCAGTGGGACCCAGATGGTCACGGGTTGGGGGTCAGGGTCGACGCCCGCTTGCCCTCCGCCCCCCGCGTGTGGGCTAACCTGAGCTGATGCGCGGCCAGAGCACGCGTTTCTCGGGTACTGTATGTTCTTACTGCGTGTTTTAGGAGCAGGACGTGTCTGCAGAGGTTTAATGGTTTGTTTTCATGACCACCTGAACCTTGTCCTCGTCTTCGGCCCTTTTGCTTGGCCGGGCTCGCCCTGTGGTCCTATTTCTGTGCAGCCCGGTCAGCCTCGACACCTGTGTGAGGTCGGTTCTCTTCCCGGGACTGTACCCGAGCCTGAGGCGGGGCGGGCGCTCCAGGGCGGGCTGTCAGGGTCAGTGTGGGGAACAGGCTCCCAAAGTCAGCGCGTCTTAGCACCGTGCCGTGCCATCTGGGTGTCAGGAGGTGGGCAGCCCCGCAGTCGCTGTCATGGACTCCAGGTGTTTTGAGGTACCGCACGTTGGGCTTTAGGAGAAATACTTGAGATTGAAGATGACGCACGCGTGGAAACAGCACGTTAGTATGCCGCCAGTGAGGTAGAGGCACGTCCTAGCCTGGCTCTCACTTCCCAGAGGGCCTGTTCCACAGACTCTGCTGGGCCGGCCCGTGGGGGGCAGGTGGGTGCCAAGCGCGCGGGGACCATCGGGGGCAGACGGCTGCCCGAGGCCCGGCCACCGGGGCGCTTCCTGTGGAACGCGGGGCTCTGTGGGCCCCAGGAGAGCGTCCCCTCTGTCCCGCCGAGGGGACAGCAGGCTCTGGTGGTGTCCCCCTGAAGCGCGAAGTCTAGATGAGGGTCGACCACGTGGGTGTGTGCACGGCTGCCTTGTGGTCCCCTTTTCCACATTACGGGGGCGTCATCGGAGAACATTAAGTTTAATAGGCCCAGTAGTGCTTTCGGTTTTATTTCGTGAGAATGCAGCATATTAAGGGGAATGACCAGGACGTTTGTTCTTCTGGCCAAGAGAGGAGTACGCTGGTGTCAGTCTAAAGACCCTTCAGGTGGTATCATTTCTACCTCACCAGGAGCATGTTGCCTGAGGCCAGAGCTTAGAATTCACGCAGGCGCGGTCCTCGGAGGCGTGTCCTCTTCATAGGCGGTGCTGTTAGCCGCTTAGAGTAGCTCACTCGTGCTCTGCGCGCAGCCTTCGCTGCGTCAGGTTCCCTCCCTCTACAGGCAAAGTAACAGAATGGTGAGAAGAAAGTGCTGGGACCCGGGCTGGGACGAGGCCGTGTCCCCTCTGGCCGCTCTTGGCCTGGACTTGCTCTGTTTCCATTTCTTCTGTTTCTCCCTCGTCTGCCTCTCGCTTCCACGGGTCAGAAGCTGAGATGAGTTTTACTAAGTTTTCATGATCCTGCATCTTCCAAGTCGATGGATGGAAACATTCCCAAGAGCATTTGATGTCATTCGTGCTTGCCCTTTGAGAGATTTCAGTACTTGAGGAAAAAGTGAATTTTGTATCTCTCTTCACGTACTTGCTTTTAGATTTTCCCTTAATTAAGATTTTAAAATATTTACACGAGCATTTTTAAAACAACATTTACAAAGTAAATGGTTCATTACGGATCCCTGTTTCTCAGGAAGTGCAAAGTGGTCCTCATACAGAACTTTATGTGAGGGAGGCTGCGGGGAGCACACCAAGCAGGGTTTAGATGAGACCAGACCTCCAGCGGGATGAGCCTGCGCTGTCCGCCAGGCCTGGTGCTGACACGCCGAGCCGCGAGCGCTTCGTGGGGGGCCCGGCACGCAGCCCAGGCTGGGGTCGCCCCGCGGTCTTTGAGCTGCTGGGGTTGCGTGCTTCGGGCAGATTTTAAACGATTGGCTTCTTTTGGTTCTTTCTTTTCCCCTGCGAAGATGGGATGCGGAGTTAGAGACCTGAAGTATTTTCAGAGCAAAATTTGACAAGAGGAGCTTTGCTTATCAAAGGGAAGCTCAGTACAGCCGACTGAATACAGCGGTGAGGTGTAAGTGCCGGTAACCTGTCAGAATTAATACAATTAGATGCTCGTTGTTAAGTGCCCTTAGTTTAACCCGAGAGGATATGTTACGTGTGCAGATCTTGTGACCCCTGACGATAAAGCCAACACTTGAACTGTCAATTAAAATGTTTCCGTATTTTAACTTGTGAGGTCCCTGCGCATCGTTCCTCCCTAAACTGCGTGTTGATAGATTTGAAATTGGATACAGTGGTTCAAAGATGTCAACCTTGGCCTGAGCGCTCAGGGTGTGGCTGCTGGTCGCTGATCAGAGCTGCTCTGTAGAGGGGGTGTCCCGCCCCCGCCCTCAAATTTAATCAGAGGGTTGAAACCCGTTCTGTCCTGTTTCCGGTGCCTTCCCCGAGGTGTCCCTGCCATGCACTGCGAGTCCACTACTCTCACAGGGAAGCGGGCCCAGTAGAGCCACGGGGAGCAGCAGGTGTGCAGGGCACACACCCAGGAGGGTGCTGCAGGCGTGGGAGGGGTGCCGAAGGGGCATCCCCCGGTCGTCCTGGGTTCTGGGCCCCACGGGAGCCTCCCTGACTCAGGGCTCAGAAGTGGGTGGTTTGCTGGAAGAAGTCAGAGTTCCTGTGAGTGAAGTCCACCTAACAGCCTTCCTTCCTTGGCGTGTTTTCTGAGCTTGATAAAGTAGCCATCCCGCCCCGTAGTTTAAAGTTCCAAAGGCCCAAGAGCCCGCGTGGGCGCAGCCCTCGTCCCCCCCACCCCCGCCAGCCACCTTCTGTCTCGCATATGCCACGCGGCCCTCGAGTGCTGGCTGTTAGCTGGGTTCCAGCCTTGCTGTGCTGGAACCGCAGGGGGTCGTTCCCTGAGCGTTTGGTGGACGGTCGCTCTTGCTTGGTTGACCAGGGGTGTGGCAGTGCCCACCTGGCTTCGCCCTGAGACCTTCACCCGCAGCCGCAGCCAGCAGTCGAGAAACACAGGACGCGCACGGCCCACGGGACTCCCCGACTCCAGACGCAGTCGTAAATGGGGGGTCCCGGGTTGTCACGCGTCCTTCTGACCAGCCGGCCGCCTGTCGGTTCCCATGCCCCTGCCGGGACGGCTGAGAACTTGGGAAATGCGGAATCGGGCACGCGGTCGAGGCCTGACAGGCAGCGGGTGAAGGGCACACGGGTGAGGTCGGGAGGGTCCCGGCCAGAAGCTCCTGAGCCCTGTGCCTTGGGGGTTCTAGGGAGGCTCCCTGGGGGGCGGGGTGGGGTGGAAAGGTCCAGGCCGCTCATCCGCTGGTGCTTCTGGGTGACCGGCCTCACCCCAGAGTCCACCACGGTCGCCTCATTAGAGCAAAGGTGCTCCCTCGTCCAGGAGACTCCGGGGGTTTGGGAGCTCTGGCTGGGAGCCGGGGGCAGAGCCCGATGAGCAAACCTCTTGTCGCTTGGCACACGTGAAGCATCTTCACAGATCAAACCTGTTAAGTAACGACCCCGCTCTGAGGTCACAAGAACGTAGTTATGCTAGCTGACGGGCCACGGGGTCTCTGCTCCTTCCTGGGAAAGGTGCTGGCGGGTCCGTGTTCAGGAAACATGGGCCCGGCCTCCTCTCGCCGCTGCCTTCCCCTTTCCAGCACCCCGTCCGCCGTCGTGGGCGTCAGGTGTCGTCGGGGCCCTGCCCCCTGCCCCCCAACCCCCCAACCCCCCTCCCTTGCCTTGTCTGTGAACAGTTAAGCCTGAGGTCTGTCAGAGAAGACAGACGGGCAGGCACCCCACACGCGGCCGCGTGGGTCCCAGGACCCAGCAAGGTGGGCGTGGAGGAAGGACAGCCCGGGCCACCTCTGCCTCCCGTCGTGCACCCCGTGGGCCTAGTCCACACTCCTCGGTGCTGGTTGTAAGCATCCGTCTCAGGCAGGCCCCGTGTTGGAGCTTTACGGGGGTCCTGCGTGTTTAGTCACGGGAAGCGGGGCCCGTGCAGCAATCTGCAGTGGCGTCGCTCCCGAGGGAGGGGCCGTTGCGTGGATTCTTCAGAAAAAGGCGGTCTTGTGCTGACTCTTGGTCCTTTGCCAGGTGGATGACATCCTGGGAGAGGGCAGCGATGACAGTGACAGCGAGAAGAAGCCAGGAGATCCGCAGCACCGGCACCGGGGACCGAGGCCCGGGCAGCCCGAGGCCCTGGGCGCCCCACGGCGGCCCACGCTCAGGTCAGCGCCACCCACTGAGAGGAATGCAGCAGACGGCTGGGGGCCCAGGAGAGGAGCGGGGCTCAGGTGCAGGGGAGGGGCTGGGAGGCGGGGTGGGGGTGGCCCAGGTGAGGGTGGGCCTGTGCGCTGCCCCGCGAGTGCCGGACACCGTCCAAGCGTCAGACACCTTCTGTGTTGATCAGTGCACCGTTGTTATCCTGTTGCATCTTCCCAGTGTTGTTACGGACCATGGTGTGCGGGTATCATTTTCAGGGCAGTAGTGAAGGGGGTAAGAGACCTAAAGACGTCGGTCTGGGTGGTCCTGAGAGGGCAAAGGTCACTCACTGTCCTGTTTCTGAAACATACAATGCACGTTACAGGTTGTTTAGAACATTACGTTTGTGGTGCTCTCGATTTTTATCAAGTTTTTTCCGATTCAGTTACCATTTGGGCAGATGTAAGTCTTCCCCTTCACAGAGTGCACAGTGTCTGTTGTAGGTGGTGGTTCGTGCCCAGGTGTGGTCCCAGCGGCCCAGGAGCCTACGGTGGGGCTCCTCTCCCTGAGTCCCCACTCATGTCTGGAGGGCTGCTGTGTGCGGACCCAGGACGGGACACGGCCAGGAGCAGCGTGCTGTCCACCGATGGCGGCCCCGTGCTCTGTGTCCAGCTGCGCGGTGTGTTTGCAGCCCCTGTGGGGGGGCATTGGTCTTCCCAGGGTCTCGAGTGTTCAGAGGCAGGTCGTGGTGAGAACTGGACCCCGCGTGACCTCACGCGTGCGCAGGGCATGGGCCGAGGGCAGCTGCCAACACCAGTGTCTGCTCTCGGGGTTGCTCAGCTTGTTAGGACTGTAAGTGCTGACACTGAATCAGGTAGGATGGTACGATTGTGCTTCCTTTTTCACTTTATTGTATTTTCCTTTATTTACTTATTGGTATGTACATATGTATGTCTGTTTTGGTTTGTTTTGTTTTGTTTTTGCCGTACCTCGCAGCATGTGGGATCTTAGTTCCCCAGCCAGGGATCAGACCTGTGGTAGGGGAGGGGTGGTTTCTTTCGGGATGATTCAGGCATTACGTTTATCGTGTACTCTGTTTCTGTTATTATTACATTGTAACGTATGATGAAATATGTATACAGGTCACCACAGAGCAGAATCAGTGGGAGCCCTGAGCTTGTTGTCACTTGCCACTCACTGCTAGGGTTTTGATATGAGTCTGCGAGCCATTGATTTATTATGGTCTCTGTGCAGCCAAACCTCCCTACTAATGAGAATCTATCTGCAGCCGCTCCCCAGTGGGTCCCAGCGTCACCACCTCAGCTCCACCCCAGATCATCAGGCATTAGATCCTCATAAGGGGTGTGCAAGCAGGACCCCTCGTGTGCGCAGCTCCCCGCAGCGTTCATCCCCCTTGAGAGTCTAATGTCGCCGCTGATCTGACAGTGATGCGAGCGACGGGAGCTGCTGTAAATAGAGATGGAGCTTCGCTCGCCCGCCGCTCCCCTCCTGCTGTGCGGCCCGGTTCCTAACAGGCCACGGACCAGTCCGAGGCCCAGGGGTTGGGGACCCCTGCCTTACACAGTTGTTTGACCCAGCTGCATCTTCAGCTCAGCGCGAGGGCCCCGTGGGGCTCTCGAGGGACGTGGGGAGCTGGGGCCCCTCTGAGGAGCGCGCTCCCAGAGCCCTGGTTCCACTGCTGCTGGGCTGCTCCGTGTGCCTGGTTCTGTTTTCTGTGCCAAGTTGAGAGGAAGACACAGAGCCTTTTCTCTAAGACTGGGAAGGACGGGCCGGAGTCCCGGGGCCAGCGTCCTGCTTTGTCTCCACGGAATCATCTGCCCACACGTGAGGTAGCCCCGGGCCACGCGGAGAAAGCCTTGCCTGTGGTGGTTCGGTGCTGCCATCGGGGCCGGAGGCGTGTGGCCTGCGTCCGCCACGGCTCCTCTCAGCCCTGCACGGTGCCAGGGAGTCCAGCACCGGGGCCGGGGCTGTGGTCCGCGCTGGGCCGGCGTGGGGCGGGTGCTCGGGAGCGCCCCCTTCACCCCGGCCCGGGTCTCCTCACCATCCCCACTGCAGCTGCTGTTTCACACCGTGCCGTGGGGCTTGACCTCAGCGGTGTGGGAATCTGAGATGAGGACAGAGCCCAGGGCCCACCCGGATGCCGTCTCCCTCTGGGTGGCCAGAGACCCTTGTTCCCGCCCCTGCCTGCCCCTCCGCCGCTCGGCGTCTCCCTGTACCCGACGTCGAGTCTGCCCTGCGTCGGGGCTGAGGCGCCGTGATCGGGCTTGGGAGCTCATCCCTTTCTCTGCCCAGAAGTTGGTGAATGTGGTTTTCGCGCATGTTTTATTCTTGTCAGTGGGCTCTAGGTGTAGGAGTGTGGACGCTTTGGATTTTCCCACAGTAGCGTTTTTACTTGAAATTAAGTCAGGCACGTTTGGGGGGTTTGTTTCTTGCCTGCGGGACATTTCGGTCCACGGCCTTTGCCGCGAGCAGTGGCGCCTTGCGCCCTGGGTCGCAGCCTGGCTTCTCCCGAGCAGTTGGCAGCACGTCCTGCCGGCCTGAGTGGCCAGGCTCTTCTATGGGATCTTAATGTCACTGGAACTTGAAGGTGACTCTTCTGATGGAAGGATAGGGGTGGGGTTGTGGCTTGTCCACTGGGAACCGATCCACTCTTCTTTCAAATGAACAGACGTCAGACGCCTGTTTTACACACGGCAGCTGGAGGGGCACTTCCGCTCCTTGAGGTAAGTCCCTGAGTAAGAAGTCAGGGCCGTGTGGCTGGCACTTGGCAGACGAGACGTCCGCAGGCGTTGGAGACGCCGCCCTGCCCCCACCACTCGCAGGAGACGCGCGACGTGGAGACTCGGCCTGGGGTCTCGTGTCGTGGGCGGTCGGCTTGGCCAGCGGAAGCCAGCTCTCTCTCCCCGAAGCCCGTTCCCTAAGTGCCAGAGAGTTTAGTCTCAGCACCTTCCCCATCCCACCCGGTCCCGTGGTGAACTAGTCAGGAGCGTCGCTCCACTTCTAAAGGCTAAGCTCCTGACCTGAGTCCCGGGCTCCCACCGCCCGGTCCTCTGCCGCCTCCGCTTCTCCGCAGGGGCGCGCGCGGTGGCCGGGGTCCCGGCCGAACGTGTAGGCAGACGGTGCACAGGTGTGCAGAGGCCCTGACGCCTGAGAGCTGTTCTCAGTGCTGGGTGGTCGCCTAGGCAAGGCTGTCTTTACTACGCTGGGGACATCGGTCATTTCTAGATGGAGGAGACGTGGGCCTGGTGTTTGTGACCAGAGAGCAGACCCAGCTCTGCTGCCGCGGTGGAGCCCGAAGTCCGCTTCGCAGCCAGCCCTCCACCTCCACCCTGTCGCTGCCTTGCCGTCAGACACCTTCTGTCTGCGCTGCCAGCTGGTGACCCTGGGACCAAGGTGCTTGGCTCAGGTTGTAAATTCCCCAGGCTGTGGCTGAGGAGCTGACCTTTTGTTGCGTGGACACGTGGCTTCCCGTCGATTCGTGAGTCGATTTGTGATGTTTAACCTGCCGTAGCCGGCAGCACCGTGGTGACACACACCCTGGTGCCCCAGCGCTTTGCGTGTGCGAGCTCATCACACACAGTCGATTTCTGAAGGCGGAATCGCCGAGGTCGGAAGGCCTTCACACTCTTGACCTGGTAGCTGCTTTGAGTTGCCTTCTGACCATGGAGGGTCGTGCCGATGGTGAGAGGGCTGGCTGTCCCCCACCCTCCCTGACACGGTGCTTTGTGACGGCTTCTGGCCCCTGCAGCGTGATGGATAAAAAGCGGCGCTGTTTTAGTTGCGTGTGCTTTTCTCTCTCCCTGCGCTGAGCCCGCACCCAAGGCTGGACCCCAGAGACGTTGCACTGGGGGTGGGGGTGGGGGGCGGTGCCAGTGCAGCAGCTTCACCAGAACAGCCCCGCCCTGGGGGGAGGGGAGACCAGGGCCCGGAGTGGCTGCAACGCAGTAACTAAAACGTCCAGTTTCCAGCAAAAAGAATCACGAGACATTGGAGAGACAGAAGAATGATCCACAGACAAGACAGAAGAGGCCAGAGAAGCTGCCCGAGAGGGCGACCGCGTATCAGAGGAACAGACGGGATACGTTCCCAGAGCCGCGGAGACTGAGAACCGCCGAAGGGTCCTGGGGACAGCGTCTCAGACGGCACCGCCAGGCCCTCAGCGCGCACGTGGCAGGACTGCCGGGGACATAATGACTGGCACCTTCCCAAATGTGACGGGGAACGTCATCTGACACATCCCGGGAGCTCAGGACCGTCCCCGGGTCAGCTCAGAGGTCCCCATCTGCACGCTTCACGGCGAAGATGCAGGAAGCCAAGACCAGGACAGGGGTCAGAAGACTTTGTCTCAAAATAGGTGACGTCACCTGAGTTCTCAGGCTTTTCAGAAACAGTTGAACAGATGTGGCCCGTACGATTTTTCCTTGGAACATGCCCTGTGGCCCTGTGGCCCTGACCTGAGCACACGCCCTGGAGCCCGGTGTTGTGTTACAGTGACCTACACGTGCACCCCTTTGAAGACGCAGCAGAGCCTCCGCTGTCGTGACCGGACAGGGCAGGCAGGAGCCCACGCGCGTCCTCTCTGCCTCGGGGTCCGGACGGCCTTCCACGCCCCAGGGCAGGTGCTCCCGTACACGCATGTGGACACATGCACACACGTACCTGAAACAGCTTTTGTTAGGTAAAATAGTGACCTCACCACCTGCTGTGCTGCTCTGTTCTTTTTCTTTCTGCCAAAAATACCAAGCTGGTTGTAACCAGCAATTTGAAAAATAAATGCATTACGGATTGTTTGATCTTGTTGGTTAGACACCGGTGTAAAATAATAATGTGTTTATTTGCCGTAGTTGCTAAAATAATTGTGCATCTTATTAAACAGCAGACGTTAGGTGCAGGTCCACGTGCCTCTTTACAGCAAAGAGCTCAGAGGCTGGGACGTGAGGGAGGAAAGGTGCATGTGTGATTTATGCTCCTGTTCACATTCTTGCTTTTATTCCACGTTGAATCTGAGCTGATTCTTGAGGCTTACATTTTCCCCGAATTAAATCTGTTAGCGTTTCTCTAGGGGACTGTGCTGTTGGTTGTGAAAACAGAATACAATTATTGCAGGTTCTGCTGAGAGCAAAGGAAGCTGGTGTCAATTTTAGGCATTTATTAACCACGACTTGCAGCTGTGTCCAGTCTTTGAGGTGGTCTTTAATTACTAAAACTCAAATCGTGTTGGATATAGGAATACTCCAAACATTGTTTAACCGAGACTGAAGGTTTTGCTCTTCCCAGCACAAGGCACTGCCGCTGTGGCCCCCGACCCTGGTCCCCAGGCCCCCGGACACGGCCGCACGAGCGGACACCGAGGTCCCAGGGTCTCTCCCGCAGGACCAGCCGGGTTCAGCACAGTCGACATTTGTCTCTCTGCACAGAGGCTGCGACAGCTGTGGGGTCCTGCCTAGCTGTTAGCTGGCGTCTCCCTGGGGGGTGGGGGGGGACACCCTGTGCAGCCCGTTCTGTCCCAAAAGGCTGCCCTGCAGTGGGGTCTCCAAATGCAGTGCAGGAGGTTTTATCAACAGGATGCCCCGGGATCAGCCTCCTAGGGGCCTGCACTTCTCCTGCCCCGGGGTCCCTCCCAGGCCCCCCTGCACCACCTGTGGAGCCATCCCTGCAGGAGAGCACCAACCCCGGACGACGCAACCGGGCGCCGTCCACTGACTCAGCCTCGGCTTCCTTGTTGCAGCAGCTCGGGGTGCCTGAGGGTCTCTGTGCACAGGCAGAGGGCCCGGCCCTTCCTGGCCCCGGGGGCTTCCTCACCAGTCACGGGGACACCTCCTCTGTGCCCTGGTATCCGCTGCTTCCTGGAAGCTCGTCCCCTCGGTGACCGGAAGACGGGCATCTGCTTTACAGCACGCGTGGCACCCACCCCGGGGACACCCAGGAGGCAGGACAAGCCGGAGGTGGAGGGCGGTCGGGGAGGAGCCTCGAGGACAGACCACGTCTGCACGTGCTCTCAGCGCCGCCGGCAGTGCAGCCACAAGCGGGGGCCTGGAAGGCGGGGTTCAGCCCCCTCTGCCTGCCACCCGCAGCTGAGCACAACTCAGGCCTGGGGGCTGACTGTTCTCTGCTCTCGTGTGTGTTACTGCTGTACACGCACACACACACGCGACCCCCCAGTTCTGTCCCTGGGAGGCGGTGCTGGGCAGTGCCCCGTGGAGCGTGGGTGTCATTGGGGTTATTTGCAGTAGTTTGAACGGTAGAGGAGAAAGCCGTCTCTCTAAACCGTTCTATCTACACGTCGTTTCTCAGTTTATCTGTTATGTTCACTCAGCGAAGGGGAATCGTGCGAGCGCCTCACATTAATTACGCTTAACGCTTAACACCATCTTTTCTTCCACCGTCTCTCGCAAATCCACAGTTAACCCTGCAGTGTGTCTGAGGGGCTGGACCCTCGGGCCGCATGTCTGCTCAGATTTGGCTTGAGTTGGCGAGGCCCGGGCACCATGTCCCAGCCGTGGCTGTGCTCGAGCAACCACCTTGGCCAGTGTTTGTCCTGAAAGCGCATCACAGGGTCCACACGGCTCCGTCCTCTTGTCCAGACCCTGGCGCCCTCCCAGCCGCCGGGTCGCTTCCCATCCGCGCCCCCTTCCTGCACTGACCTCTTCCCGGTGCCGCCGGGACCCGAGAGGAGGGGTTTCTTTCGGGTTTACTTTCCCTTCCAGCCGCGCGTGCTGCCGAGCCAGGCCGCAGCGGCTGGGCAGGGGCGGCGCCGGGTCGCAGTAAACGCGCGCTTCCCCTTCGGGTCACGTGCTCCCTCCGGGGCCAGGGTCCCTCTCCTCTGACTTCTGCCAGCCTGGGCGCTGAATGTGCCTCCTGACTGGCACCTTGATTCGCTTTTCAAATCACGTAGGAGTATCTTTTTCAGTGTTCGTTGGCCCTTTTTTCTGCCAACTGCCCTTTTCTGTTTGCGGAGCGTTCTCACGATTAGGTCATTCCTTGTCTGTTGTCGGATTTCTGTGTGTTATAGGTCTTAGGTTATAGACGTCACAGTCTCGCACGTCATTTTCCCAGTCTTGTGTGTGTCTGTAACTGCTTGAGATGCCTTTTGTGTCTCTAAGAGGTAAATCTTTTGGGGGGTTTCTTCCCTTCAGAAGGTTTCCCCAAACCATAGTAGTTGCGGGGGGGGGCGTATATACATGCCTACGTAACTTTTCTTTTCGATAAATGGTGCGACAACAACTGTAAACTGTTGATGTCCAAATTGATGTCCAAATGCAGAATAATTAATCGTAGCCCACAGTCAGAAATGTACTCAGCGGTTAACTCAAAATAGATTTCACAGACCTGAATGTAAAACGTACACCTGTCTGCTGGCGGCTGTCCCCGCCTCCCTTCCCAGCGGCTTGTCCAGCTCCAGCCGTAGCCCCCGAGCTCGCTCCGGGCCCCTCCCTCTCCCGCCCTCACACGTCCCGGGTATTTCGTTACCTGCTGGAGATGGAGGCTGCCCTGGTGCCCAGCCTGTGCTGTCAGGGCTGTTCCGGAAGCATGGGGGCTGGGGGCTGGCGGCCGAGGGGCCGGGGAGCGTGTGTGCCACGAGCATCTCACGGTACGTGTGCTTCCCTCGCAGGGGCCACAAGAGGAAGCTGAACGAAGAGGACGCAGCCAGCGAGTCCAGCGGAGCGTCCAGCTGTGAGGACGAGGAGGGGGGCAGCTCAGAGGCGGACGAGATGGCGGCCGCGCTGGAGGCCGAGCTTGGCGACCTCATGTGACCACGGGGCGTGCACTCGACTCACCTCCGTCCCGGGAGCTGCCCCTCCTCCAGAGGGACATGTCTGTTTGCAGAGCTCCACCTGCAGAAACACACAGTTTTGCAGAAAGAGGTGTTTTTAGAAGTTTCACTACAAGAAAGCCTACTTGTTAAGGACAGCGGGGCGGGGAACGCGGCCATGCCAAAGATCCTGGGTGAGCCCAGCAGAGCCGCACAGCGGGACTGGAGTTTGCGGCTTTTTATCAGGAAGGGGGGGGGGGGGCGTGTGGGGAGGTGTTTTTCCTTTAAATACCGCAGCACATTGCTTAGGGTGAAGGCTGGGCGTCCGACCTGACAGTGGGGTGAGGCAGCAGCAACCCAGCATTCTCCTGCTTTTTCACAACTGAAGCTACCAGAACATGCACAGGTTTCAAGCGAGGCCGCTCATCGGCGTGTGACGAGGACAGGCCTGGGGCCCCCAGCTGCCCCCAGGGCCCTGCAGCTCCCGCGGGCGCTGGGACAAAGGTCCCTGCCCTCGCGGGCATGTAAAGTTTTGTATATCTATTTCGTACGTGACCCACCAAACAGATTTTTCTTTCCTTTAATAAAAGTCCCTTTTGTAAGCCTTCTGCTCTGCCCCGTTCCCTTGTCACGGGATCCAGCTCTCGCACCATGTGCGTGGGTGAGCTGCCCTGTCCCGCTCCCCTCCAGGGCGCTCACGGGGCCGATTCCTGGGTGAATGACCAGGGCCTTGGACGCTGAAACAGAAAAGCAGATGACCCTCTCAAGCCGGTCCATGGTTGTTAGTCTCTCCCTTACTGCACCAAAGCTTTAGGAATGCCAAGGACTGGTGTTATTTCTAATCACTAGATTTATGGAAATTTGACCCAAGACACCCAAGGAACCCAGAGGCAATTCTGACCTGGGAGCTCAGTGCTGACAGGGTGTGAAACTCATCGTATTCGGTGTGTCAGCCAGACAGCATGGCCACGCGTGGTCCCACCCCTGGGGTCCCAGGTCTCACCCACAGGCCCTGTGTGCTCGGGCAGCCCCAGGAAGACTCCACCCGGTACCGCTGACCCGAGACCCCTGGGCGGTAACGCTGGTGAACTTGCCTTCGTGCCTCCTCTGAGACGGCCCCTTGGTCCTTCCTGCGTGATCCCTCCAGGTCAGGCTGCAGGTGGAGGGAGCAGAGCCCGGGGTGTGCCTGCGATACTGCATTCCTGTCGTGTGGAGGAGCAGCCCCTGGGCTGCCGGGTCACCAAGACACAGAGGGTGTGCCCCCTTCCAACTCTAGATCAGCACCCAGCAAACGTTCTTCTTGGCATTTTCTGGGCTAATTACTGGATTAAAAGTGAGTGTGAGGCTCAGGCTGTGTCCTTTTCACACTCTTCAGTTGCAAGTAACAGCCACAGCTCCAGTGGGCTTGTCTTCCTGTATCTATCGACTTGTCTGAGCTTGTCTGACTTGTCTGGGCTTGTCTGAGAAGTGAGGTGGAGCTTCAGGTACGACTGGATCCAGGTGTTCACCAAACGCTCAGGTGTCATTGGGAACTTGAATCCTCCTCCCATGGTTTGTCCTCTCTTTGATGGTCAGATGCCACCCACCCTCCTGATGATGGGGGGAGGGAGTGGGAATCATGATGCACACGGGACAGGTGTGGGCCGGCAGACGTCAAGAATCCAGGCACAGTCCCCGCCTAGTTTCCTCACCAAGGTGAGGGTACCTTCGTGTACTTGCCGGTCTCCACAACAGCAGTGTGAGGCTCCAGGATTCCCGGTCAGAACCATTCCTGGGGAGCAGCGAGGGGGAGGCCCCTCTGATGGGTCTGTACTAGGGCAGGAACGGAGAAGACAGAGCTGGGAACGTGACTGATCTCAAGGTTCCCCGCTGAAACCCGGCACAGCGCCTCGGGCGGATTATCCCTAAGAGGGCTGGGGGTAGTTAAACGTCTCCTCGCAGCCTTGTTCTCAGTGGCATGTGCTTGGGATGCTGAGCCGTCCCGGGGGCCGGGGAGGCACCGAAGGTCCCCGGGGCCCCTTGAGCCTCCTGAGGAGGTGGCACCACCTTTGGGGGAGGGTTGCCCGGGGGACCTGCGTGCTGTCTCACAGAGAGAAGTGCGCTCGAGTCAGGGAAATGCTGGATAATTTGTGCAGCTCCTCCAAGTGACATCTTTTCTAGAAATTGTAATAGGAAGCTGGAATTTGCCATGTGCTGAACGTAACGTAAACGTCAGGCTTTACACTGAAGACACAGCTGCCTGAAAACTCATGACCAGGAATTGGGAGAGAACCCCTTGGGTCCATGAGAAATCCTTGCACAAGCAGATCATAAATTTAAGCCACGTTTTACAAACACTCAAAAGTCTGTGACACTGGAAATGTGAAACTTTACCCTCTTCCTTGAGAAACGGGATGTTGAAATTTTGTGTAAACGTGGGTGGATCTCATGTCCCATCTGAGTTTTTCATGTTTTTTCACGTTTTTAAAACAACCGTGAAGCTGTGACGTGGGGACACCTGTCGTGTGAGTCTGACCCGTCTGTGGGCCCACCCCACGCGGGAACTCGAGTCAGGGCCGGAGGCTGCCCAGGTGTCAGGGCGGGGGCACTGGTGTTCTGCAAGGAC